TAAAAGATTAGAAATAATAATAAAGATAAAAATCTTACAAAGTTATAAGCATTGAAATGAAAATGCTTGTAGGGAAACACGCAACAAAATAAAATTATAAATACGTCTAAATTTTAGGCATGACAACACACCTAGATAGTTTTTGAGACATCCTTAATAGCTAAAGCTTTCTACTGATGATCATATAGACACATTGAATATGACACTAACTCTTTACGAGCATTATTTAGCTTTAAATTTGCAGCACTTAGCAATTGGTGTGGAGGGTAGAATATAAGAACTCAAAAATGGGTTTTAACTAAAAAAAAAAAAAAAAATCAAAAATGGGTTTCATGATTGTAGAAATCCTAAACCATATATATATATATACCCTAATTCACACTGTTATGTAAGAAAAACCTAAAAATTTCTCCATTCTTATAAATAAACTCAAAATATGTCTATTAAGATCTTTACTACTCTCTTAAGAAATATATTTTACCATACATAGATTTGTTTTTATTCTTATATGTTCAAGTTAATAGTGAAAATGAATAGGAATGGCAAGTAATTGGCATTCTTATTAAATTTAAAATAATAATAATAATAAAAGACTTCATAAAATCCTCATCTTAGCTCCATATTTGTTTATTCTTAGTATTGCATGTGATACCTTATAAGTTCCCTTCTATTACTTTAAGCAAGTATCCCTTACTAATATTCTTAAAGAGTGATAATCTACTACTTCCTCTCACTTCATATTTGAGTTTGCATACTTTGTTTCTTTATAATAATACATAAAAATAAATAAATATCCCACTTTTATCTTTTACTTTTTTTTAATTATTGGGTGAAAGACATCCATTGCAACCAATCAAGAATTTGATAAAGCACAATATTTTTGATATAAGCTTTCAAAATGCTTACTCACTCTTACGAATATCTTACTAAAATGTGAAAAGATTGAAGATTTCTCTATTATGCTTATGAATAGGGCCTATAATATTGAAGGGTTCTAATGAAAATTAAGAAATGGTATCTGGCTTCTGATCTTTTTAATGAATGCAAATTGGAGCTATTTAAATTCTATTTGCATACCTTAGCAACGACCTTTGAATTAGCTGGTGCTTTTTTGCACTAGTTTCTTTATTTGGCAAAGCTGTATGCACCAACTTTTTGACTCTGTCCAGAATATCGATTTATATGGTACTTATTAAAGTAGAAATTACAAAATAATTCTCAGTGTTTCCTAATTTCAATCAAAGAATAGTGGTTACTGGTAAAGAATGGTATATTAAAAGCTTTCAAAGTTTATAGTCATTATAATTTGTCTGGGCATAAGATCTCCTTATGTAGAAGTCTAAAATGTCACATTGATGGCATTGCCATTGAAACATACCACCTCTTAATAGCACAATCAGATCCTCTTCCTCTAGTTTTTGTTAGAGACAAATTGTTTGTAAGAGTGGAAGAGAATATAATAAAAGAAGAGGAATTTTCTTTTAGATTTCTTTCTCTTATACATCAAAATGACAAGGCTAAAGGCCTTTTTATACTTGTACAAATATCATCCTAGAAACACAATCTTGAGATTTTCATAGTAATTAATTTTGGTTTATATTTTCAATAATGTTTCCATTAAACCTGATTGCTTTTATACTTTCTCCTTCTTTCTCTTCTACTTGGTTTCATCTTATAATGATTGCGTTTCAATTTAGCAAAATCTAGGAAAGCTAATGTTACTAATGATCAAGAAATATTTAGAAAAGTACTCTCTCATCCATCACATAAGATGCCTAATGCATCAAGCCTAATTGATTCAAATTACTGCAATGATTGTTTTCTATTGTAGGTTATTATATCCTCTCCTCCTTCATGCACTTGATAACATATTCCTTCCTTCGACATGTTCTCCCCTCAAAGTAATATATATTTCTTTAATCATTGCCGCAAGACCAGCAAGAGGAAATTTTTTTTTAATCAGAACATCATATTTGACTGTGACGGCACATTGGAGTTTGTAGTCTATTTTAAAGAACCATTGTTAGGATGATAGAGTGGACACAAGAATAAACATTATGAGAAGAGCTCACAATTTATAAGATTTATGGTTAACTTTTGGATAATACCTACCCATCATAGTTAGAGATTATTAGCTATGATTGTATTTTCCATGTGCTTGGGTTTTAGATTTTGAAGATCTTTTAATTTTGTTTTACTTTTATTTTCTATTATTTCTTTTCTCTTGGGATTTATGTTCCCGAATTAATTTGTATTTTCAACTTAATGAGGAAATTATTTTCCATGTGCTTTAAATAAAAAAAAAACATAAACTTTCTCTGACATCAATCAATATTTAGTGAACTATTATGGGTGCTGAAGTTTTGGAGTAGATGATTAAACTTTATAAAATGTGAAGATATTAGTTTGTAGTGGCCGTAACATTTCCTTTTCTTTAACTCTATTTTACAAGTTAAAAAACAAAATAGATCAGACAGATCTGCAGCAGTTTTAGAGATGATGCTAGGAAGAAATTTGTATTCTGGACTCCAATATGGTATTTTATGCTTATGTAATTCAGATAACTAATTCATTTGTTATCATGTCCTAAAAGAAACATAAACCCTTTCTTGTGAACATAGGAACATCTGAGAAAAACTAATTACTTTGTAAACTATTGATTACATATTCATTTAGTGTATTTAAGAATTCTATGGTCCTTTCTAGTTATTTCGTTCTGTCTGCAGCCGTTTTGTACGTTGTATTGCATGCAACAGCAGGCTTATTATCACAAGTCAAGGTACAAATTAATATCATATTTTTTTTCCTTAGAACTCAAACTGTTTCTAGTACCGTTTGATATCATTTTCCATGGGACTCACACCATGAAGTGCCCTCGTAACCTGGAAGTAAGCTTACACGAAAACAAGCCAAGGTCTCCTATGAACAAGGTAAATCAACTATAGTCTAATCTATGAAACTAAAATGGTGGGTCTCAACTTACATGCATCTCCAAGGAAAAAAATATAATAAAAAAATATTGTAGTAGTGACATGTTAACAATAAAAATTATGTGTTGCTAACAGGTAGGAAGACAAAATCATTCACATTTATACCGACTCATAACAGCAATGGTAATAGAATTTCATAAATTTTCGGTTAATTTTCTTTAGATCCTAATAAACTGAATTATCTTATACTACTCATCTTGTTTAATGTATCAATTTATGGAGAGAAAATAATCATTTGATTATGTTTAACTCCGTTTAATCATTTGAATTTTGAGTTTAATTATGAGAAATTCTATGATAAAAAAACTAAGAAGATTGAGCTATTACAAGAAATTAGTGATAATTAGTAAGTTTCTGCAAATAAACTCTGACTGTGTAAATGAACTTTCTGGAATGACCACAGCTATAATGCTTCGATAACCCTATTATATATACTGCTTAAAAAAAAATACCCTAAAATGTTCCTAATCAGTGAATTATTGCCATAAGTATGATAAAATAAAATATTAAAAAAAATGCCAGAAGTATCAATGATCCAAAATTTTTAAAATATAAAATTTAAATAGAACAAAAAGACTTAATTTCCTGGGCATACTAAGCATTCAATCCCTATAACTGATGCAAGAGTGAAGTAAAAAGAAAATTACAAATCTCATTTCCTAGTTAACTTAGTAATTAGTAAAATATAAATCTACATAATCATCATGCACCGAAAAGAAAATTTTATTATATTTGTATTTTTATATTTATTTTATTTTTTCACAATCCGAGATGAAAATAATCATGCTTGAAGAACAAAGCAGGAGAAGGTTGATTAATTGTAACTAAAAATAGAAGTGGAAATTAATTAAAAAACTCATAACAAATTTAGCAGATGAAATTGGGGATTCTAAGTTTAACTTGGAAAGATGAATATTGAAACCTCAAGTTAGTAGGCAGCACCGTGGTCCTACATACGAAGAGAAGAAAGACCATACGAAAAATATCAGGAAAAGAATATTTAATATAGCATTTTCCATGCACATATTGCTCAAAAAAGCTTATTTCCTTAGAAAAAGGTCTACAATGTTATTATTGACTAGTGAAATGGAGAGTAAAATGAAGCAAAAAAGAAATAATTGTCATTCATTTTAAACAAATCTTTTAATTTTAGAGCAAAACTTCTATAACACAAAAGTCCAAACAAAACAAGTTAAGAGGTTAGGTATAGAAAGCTCAAGTGCAACAGAGATTCATGTATAAGAAGATATTCTTTAATTTGCATCAAATGAAGGAATAACGGAAAAGAAAAAACAAGGAAAAACAAATTAGTAAATCAATTCAAACTCATCAGAAAATAACTCCGACCACCAGATCCATAAAGTACAAATTTTAGTTGATGATCATTAACTCTTAAGGAGACAAAATATTAAAATACCAAGAGAGAATTGATGCTATTTCTTTCATATTGTCATATTTTACCTTCAAACTCTCAAACACCAAAGTGATTTATGCAAAGAAAGCATCTTTTGCTTAAAAAATATAATAAGGGCCAACGACAGTAAAGCCATGAACCTAGAACTCTAAATAATCAAGCCAAGATTGAGTTAGAAAGAGAACTAGAGATAGAGAGAGAAAAAATTGCGGGTCAGTGAGAAAGACAGCGGGAAATTAACCCAGCTGCCATCTCTCGGGCTCCGGGATCTTGGGGAAGCCGCAGGAAGGATTGAAGATCCAAAGTAAAGAGGTATAAAAAACGTTCGCATAAAGAAATAATGAACTGAAACAAAAAAATAATAGGACATCTAGCAAGTAAAGAAATAAAATAGAAAATAAAAAATGGAAAAAAAAAGTTCTACTAATTAAATATCCCTTTACGGCTTTTTCATCTCTTTCTGTTATGAAATTTGCAAAGGTTCAAACATAGCATTAACCCTTTATGTAAATGAACAAAGAAATCTACACAGAGAAATTTTTGCACAGATAGAGAGAGAGAGATAGATGATAGATAGAGAGAGAGAGAGAGATTACTCGGGGCTGCCGAACTCAAAGAGTTTACCGCGGCTGGAGAAGATGATGAGAGCAATTTCAGCATCGCAGAGAACAGAGAGCTCGTAAGCTTTTTTCATGATGCCATTCCTACGCTTGGAGAAGGTTACCTGTCTGTTGATCTTGTTCTCGATGCGCTTAAGCTCAACTCTACCTCTTCCCATCTCTCTGTATCTCTCTCTTTCTCAAAGTAGTTTCTCTTTTCCTCCACACAACACCGTCTCTTCTTCTTCTTGTTGGTTCCAAAATAAGTAGCTTTTTATATTTGTTGGAGTGGTTGAGACTTCAAGAGAGTTTTTCCTTATTCTTGCTAAAATTTTCCTATTTTCCCTTATTTTTTCTGCCTCCTTAGAGTTCCACTCTCAGTTAGCGACAACTGATGGAATTTAAATTAGCAACCTTCGGTCGATTCCCTAAAACACTTTGCACCTTAGAAATCCTTCTATAAATGGCAAGGCCAGCTTAAAATGCCACCTTTCTCTCTCTATAGATCCCCCCTCTCTCTATCAGGTAATTAAAGTAGAGTTTGGACCGGATGGACCACAGTTTATTTAAGAGGTTTCTCGTTAGGAGGAGGAGAAGTGCGTATTGCAGCAGGCATAAGATAATGAGAAGTTGGCTGTTGTCTTTGTGATTTTTGATTGAGGGCATCCTCAACCCACCCGAACAGCCATGACCCGTCATACTCATATTGAATTGATCGCTACCATTAAAAGTTCCATATATTGTATATATTTCGTTTATATTAAGGGATTAGTTTTCATTTCTATACATAAATTGTCGTTCAAAATTTATTTCATGACTAGTACGTCAAGAACTCATTTAATCTCTCCTTCAGGAAAATTAATTTTTCTTTCAGACTATCACCAACCACCCACCAGCAATCTCATGTGATTGGCTAAGAGTTCATTTTTTTAGGAAATAAAAACATTGGTATAAAAGGATTATACGGAGAACATAAAAATGAGATATTTTTCTTATTTTCTTTTTCTGAGTGAGCCTCCACTCTACTTTCCAGTGTCTGTCCTTTGGATGAGTGAATCATTGGTCGTTGTGGGTTTGCGAGTTTTTATAATTCTGAAAGTGAATACTCAATTTTCATCTAATATATAGTTATAGATTAACATTCCTATAGGGAGACTCGCGAGCGATCTAGGGTTTCTGTCGGCGGCCTCTTCTTGGGGACTTTTTCTCTGGTTCCGATGGATTTTTTTCGGTGGATCTATCTTTCCTTCCGCCTGTGTGTTATTTTGCACGGTTTTTAGTTTCTTTTTTGGTTTTGACTCTCGTTTTTTGCCTTTTGGGGGATGATGACTACGTCGTCATCTATCCCTCCACCTACTTTGGTTCCCAATGGTAAGACTCATTCATTTAAGGATGTTCTTGCGAGATCATTCTCTGTTTCTTCTCAACTTAAATTTGTGCAAACTTCGTTTAAAGGTTGTCCCGCTCTTATGTTTGATGACTTCGTTGTTTCTATGCGTGCGGCTCCTTTTGCTCTCATGTTGGTTGGAAAATTTTCTCTTAGACATCCTAACCTGGATATCATTCGGAAGTTTTTTGTGAATCTGAAGCTTTCGAGTTCCTTCCACATTGGATTGCTTGATCCGAGGCATGTGGTCATTCAGTTGAGTAATGACTTGGATTACAGCCAGATTTTCTCGAGGAGATCCTACTACATCCAGGCTTGTCAAATGCGTCTCCTAAAATGGACGCCTGATTTCGACGTCCGGGAAGAATCACCTATTACTCCGATTTGGGTTTCTTTTCCTAATTTAAGGCTGCATTTTTTTAACTCGCAAGTTCTCTTTGGTATGGCTTCACTTCTTGGTAGGCCTATGCAAACTGACCAGGCTACCGATTCGATTTCCCGTCCTTCTGTTGTGGGAGTTCTTGTTGAACTTGTCATTTCTAAAAATCTTCCTTCTGAAATTTGGTTAGGTTCTGAATTGAACGGTTATTTTTAGAAAATTGATTATGAAAACTTACCTATTTTTTGTAACCATTGTAGGATGAATGGTCATAATATGTCTGAATCCTCTCTCTCCTGCCTCAAAGCGTCGCTCTGGCGATTTAGGGCATCCTCCGCGCGATCGACGCCGCCGTTGTCCCGCTGCTTTTTTCTCCAGTTTTTCATCATGTTTCTGTTAGATCTGGCTGGTTTGGTGTTTCTTTGGTGTTCTCCTGCCCTTTGGGGGTGTTTTTTCCATGGCGGCTGCTCCTGTGGCCAATCCGTGGGGGAAAGCTGCTGATCCGTTTGTTTCTTCAAAAAAAGGCTTTTTTAATCTTGATGCTGAGGGTTCTTCTTCACCTTCTAGATCTAGATCTTTTAAAGAAGTTTTAGCTGGTGCTTCTTCTTCAGGTGATATTTTTCCTAATGTTAAGCAAGATGTTTTTAATGGTGTCCCGACGGTCTTATTGTCGGATGAGGAAGTTCTTAAGTTAGCTTCCCCTTTTCAGTATACTTTGGTGGGTAAATTTGGCTTGAGACGTCCTAATCTGGATGCCATACGAAATTTTTTCTTTTCATTGAAGCTTTCGGGTTTTTATTCTGTTGGGCTTTTGGATGCTAGGCATGTTGCGATTCAATTATCAAATGATCTTGATTATAGTAGAGTGTTCGCTAGACGTTCTTACTTCATTTATAACTGTCAAATGTGTGTTTTGAAATGGACTCCATTTTTTGATATAAAGGAAGAATCTCCGATTGTCCCAATTTGGATTTCATTTCCGAACTTAAGATTGCATTTTTTTAATACTAAAGTGCTGCATGCGTTGGGTTCTATCTTCGGGAGACCTCTCCAAACTGATCAGGCTACTGCTTCTAAAACTTGTCCCTCTGTAGCTAGAGTTCTGGTTGAGGTGGATATATCGAAAAAACACCCGAAGGAAGTTTGGGTGGGTTCTAAAGCTTATGGATATATGCAAAAAGCTGAATTTGAGAAAGTACTAGAGTTCTGTAATCACTGTAAAATTCATGGTCATGCTGTCGCTGAATGTTTTAAAGTTAATCCAGATTTGAAGAAAAGTGTTGTGCAACCGAGCAGAGGACCTGGATCTACCGTGAATAACAAAGTGTATATGCCCATTGTGAATAAATTTTTGGAAGAAAATGTTATTCAGGCGGAACCGTCCTCTGCTATGCACAATGTTTCTTTGGATGCTGGTGAAAGAAATGTTTTGGAAGAGAAGGAACCTGGTAAGGAGATCGTCCCGGATAATTCAGAGGAGGTTTTAAATAACGTTGGTAATTCTGTTTTGAATAACAAGGGGAATGACATTGTTTCTGATCCTAAGATTTTTATTTTAATTGATGATATGTTAAATGAAATGCCTATCAATTCTAATTCCGTGGCTATTGAAAATGTTTTGATTTCTAAACAGGATATTAATGATTTGGGGGATGGCGGTTCTGATTCAAACTTGGAAACATGTGAGGAAGCGGAAGTTATTCCTGTATCTAAGGTTGATTCATCCTCTCTTACTAAACAAGGCACTTCTTCTTCCTCTCCTAATTTGAAGGTTCATAATGTTGTGGAGGAGGATATGGTTTCTAAAGGTGGTAAGAAAAAAGAAAAACAAGGTAAAAATAACTGCCCGGCGACCCCGAGATCTACCATAGCTTATAATTCTTACAAAGAAGGTAATGATTAAAGCTCTTATGTGGAATGTGAGGGGTATTAGTGGTAAGGATTCTAAAATTAGAGTGAAAAATCTTTGTAGAATTAACAATATTCAACTTCTTATTTTAAGTGAATCTCTTATTAATGCTGATAAAATTGCTGATACTACTAAATTTTTGGATTTTCGTATGTATTTTTCTAATTGCTCGAATAAAGTATGGATTATGTGGAATAACCATATTGAAGTAGACATTGTTATGGATTTACATCAAGTTGTTCATTGTCAAATTAAGGTTGGTAGTTTGAATTGTTATGCTTCTTTTGTTTATGCTGCTTGTACTAGAATTAATCGGATTACCCTTTGGGAACAACTGGTCAATTTTGCTGCTAATATCAACGGCCCGTGGTGTGTTGGTGGGGATTTTAACATTATTGCTAATGCTAGCGAGAGAAGGGGAGGTAAATGTCCAAATTCTAGAGCTATGGAAGATTTTAATGAGATGATTAATGATTGTAACATGAATGATATTGGTTTATGTGGTTCTCCTTTCATTTGGAATAGGGCTAACCTGTTCCAAAGGTTAGATAGTTTCTTGTTTAATAATGAATGGTTGGCTAATTTTTCGGTCACTAATGTGGAGCATTTAAGTAGAACTCTCTCTGATCATGCTCCTCTACTTTTAAATATTAATGTTATTAATCACACTGGTAATTTTGCTTTTAGATTTCTTAATATGTGGTTACTTCATGATAATTTTAAAGTGGTTTTGGATAATAACTAGAAAGCTCCTGTGTTCTCTGATAATAATATTTCTGGTATGTTGAGGCTCTGGGCCAAATTGTCTAGACTGAAACAATGTCTGAGGTATTGGAACAAAAATATTTTCAAAAATATTTTTTCTAATATTGTGGAAGCGGAGGCTAAAGTTATTGAGTGGGAGGGTATCCTTGTTGATAATCCTTCAGAGGACATTAGTGTTAGATTGAATCTTGTCAAGAATGATCTTCTTAAGTTGCATGCTCAAGAAGAGGCTTTCTGGCAACAAAAATCTAATGCTAAATTTGTTATTGAGGGAGATAGAAATACCAAATTTTTTCATGCTTTGGCTAATAAGAATAAGACTAAAAGCAGAATTCACAAAATTATTAATAATGAAGGTATTACTCTTGATTGTGATGAATTAATCTGTAAGTCGGGTGTGGATTACTTTATGAATTTGTTTAATTGTAATGAGGGAATTCTTCCTATCTCTAATCCTGAGTTTATTCCTAAATGTATTTTGGATGAAGATAATGTTATGCTTTGTCAATTACCTATGGAAACTAAAATTTTTAATGTTCTTAGGGATATGAATGGAGATGCTACTGCTGGCCCTGATGGTTTTACTACTAAGTTCTTTCAAAATTCTTGGGATATTATGAAAGAGGATGTTATTTTTGCTATGCAAGATTTCTTTAGAGGTAATCCTTATCCTAAGTTTTTTTCATCATCTAACATTGCTCTTATCCCGAAAACTGAGGGAGCTAAAAGGTGGACTGAG